GCCGGCACGCTACAGCGATATCGAGCTTCTACCGAGATCAGGAAAATCAGAGGGGATAGTGCAGAGGCATCGCGATTCCCGACATTTCCCGACATTTCCTGATTCCCGAAGTCCCAGCAGCCCTTGCGAGAGAGCGGCTGACGTGGCGGGGGCGTTCCCACGGTGACAGCGACCACCCCCCTGCCCCTTGACTTGAAAGAGCCTTTGAGAGGGCAGCGCCGTGTCGCTGCCCACCAGGCCCAAGGAAGAACAGGGAGGTCGTTTTGCTGACCAATATGGTCGTCTCCAGAAAGAGAGCTAACAGTAAGAGGGCTGTAGCAACTCAGAGACCCCGGCCCTAACCGTGGCTGTTCAGGTCTCTGCATGCAGGGAGTGCCAGAGCCTGCTGCTACCGGGGGAGGGAGGACAGCATTCTGCCTGTGCGAGGTGTGAGCAGGTAGAAGATCTGCTTAGCTTGGTGGCTAAACTTAAGGAGGAGGTTGAGACGCTGAGGAGCATCAGGGAGTGTGAAAGGGAGGTCGACTGGTGGAGTAACTCCCTGGCTGGCCAGTTGGAACGGCTCCAGGGAGATACCCCCCAAAAGGGGATGGACCCCCTGCCCTCTCAGACAGAGGGGGATGGCCTGAGACAGCCCCTGCCCTGTAGCTGTCGCCCGGAGGTAGGGGACCAAAAAGTTGATGAGGGTTGGAAGCGAGTCCCGGTTCGGCATCATGGGCAACCCTCCTCCCTTCCTGCCCTGCTTCCCCAGGTGTCCCTCCGTAATAGGTTTGAGGCCCTGGATCTTGAAGGAGAGGTAGGTGAGGATGTGGAGCAAGGCCCGCCTACAAGGCCACATAGGAAAAATCGGTCGACTTCACACCTCAAGACTGCCTCTGGTAAGAAAGAAAGAAAGAAGGGTCATTGTAGTAGGTGATTCCATTCTGAAAGGAACAGAGGGCCCGATATGCAGAGTTGACCCTCATCACAGGGAAGTGTGTAGTCTGCCTGGAGCCCGGATCAGGGATATCACCAGGGCGCTCCCCAACCTGGTGCACCCGACAGACTACTACCCGCTGCTGGTCTCCCAGACCGGTGAGGGGGAAGCTGCTTCCCGCAGTCTGAGGGGGATGAAGAAAGACTACAGGGCCTTGGGGCGGATGGTGAGAGACTCTGGGGCTCAAGTGATCTTCTCTTCACTCCTTCCATCGTCCACTGGTGATGTGGGACTGAATGGGAAAATTCAGTCCATAAATGATTGGCTTCGAGGCTGGTGCTGCAGGCAGGGCTTTGGATTCTTTGATAACGGCTGGTTTTATAGGGCACCAGTCTGGACACTGGCATGTGGGAAAGGTTTATCGCACAGAGGCAAAAGGATGCTGGGGCAGGAATTAGCAGGGCTCATTTGGAGAGCTTTAAACTAGATTCGAAGGGGGATGGGGTTGTAGCTGGGCTTGCCTCAGTGGGGCAGCGCTCCAGAATTGATGAAGACTGGGAGGCCTCCTGTAATCCTAGGGTGAAATCGGTGTGCTCAGCTCGCTCCCTGAAATGCCTGTACACCAATGCACGCAGCATGGGAAATAAGCAGGAGGAGCTAGAAACCTGTGTTAAGTCAGGAGATTATGACCTGGTGGCAATTACAGAGACGTGGTGGGACAGCTCCCATGACTGGAATATAGTCATGGAGGGCTATGTCCTTTTCAGGAAAGAGAGGCCAGCCAGGCGGGGTGGTGGGGTTGCTCTTTATGTGCGAGAGCAGCTACAATGCGTTGAGTTCTGTCCGGGGACAGATGATGAGCGAGTTGAAAGTCTGTGGGTGAGAATTAAGGGGCAGGCTGGCAGGGGCGATACTGTTGTGGGGGTCTGTTACAGGCCACCGGACCAGGGTGAGGAAGTTGACGAGGCCTTCTACAGGCAGCTGAGAGCGGCCTCACAGTCACAGCCCGTGGTCGTCCGGGGGGATTTTCACTTCCCTGATGTTTGCTGGAAGGACTACTCGGCAACCCAGCCGCAGTCCAGGAGGTTCCTCCAGTGTATGGATGATAACTTCCTCATGCAAATGGTGGATGAGCCAACCAGGAGAGGTGCGCTGCTGGATCTCATCCTCACTAACAAGGAGGGTCTGGTTGAAGGAGTGAAGGTTGAGGGCTGCCTTGGTTGCAGCGACCACGAGATGGTGGAATTCAGGGTCTTGTGTGGTAGGGCCAGTAGAGTAGCAAGTAGAATCGCAACCCTGGACTTTAGCAGGGCAAACTTTGGCCTCTTCAAGCAATTGCTAGGGGACATCCCATGGGCTAGGCTGCTTGAAGGTAAAGGGGCCCAAGATAGTTGGTTGACGTTCAAGGACTGCTTTTTCCGAGCTCAAGATCAGAGCATCCCGACACGTAGGAAGTCAAGGAAGAGGGTCAGGAGACCTGCGTGGCTAAATAGGGAATTGCTGGGTATGCTGAAGTGGAAGAGAAGAGTTTACAGGTCATGGAAGGAAGGGCTGGCCACTTGGGAGGAATATAAGGCTGCTGCTAGAGGATGTAGGAAAGCAGCTAGGATGACTAAGGCCTCCTTGGAATTAAAGCTAGCGAGAGGGGTCAAGGACAGCAGAAAGAGCTTTTTCAAATACATGGCAGATAAAACTAACACCAGAGGCAATGTAGACCCACTGATGAACGGGACGGGTGCCCTGGTGACAGAAGATACAGAGATGGCAGAGTTACTGAATGCCTTCTTTGTCTCTGTCTACTCTGCCGGAGGCAGTCCTGAAGAGCCCTGGACTGCTGAGACCTCAGATGAAGAGAGGTCAACGGAGCGGTTTGCCTTAGTTGATGAGGAATGGGTTAAAGACCAGTTGAGCAATCTGGACATCCATAAATCCATGGGTCCAGATGGGATGCACCCGCGGGTGCTGAGGGAACTGGCGGAGGTCATTGCCAGACCGCTCTCCATCATCTTTACCAAGTCTTGGGAAACGGGAGAGGTGCCTGAGGACTGGAGGAAAGCAAATGTCACTCCCGTCTTCAAAAAGGGCAAGAGGGAGGACCCGGGTAACTATAGACCGGTCAGCCTCACCTCCATTCCTGGGAAAGTGATGGAACACCTTATCCTTGGTGCCATCTTAAGGCATATCAAGGATAAGAGGGTTATGAGGGGCAGTCAACATGGCTTCACCAAGGGGAAGTCATGCTTGACCAATCTCATAGCCTTTTATGAGGAAATAACACGGTGGATGGATGATGGCAGAGCGGTGGATGTGGTCTACCTTGACTTCAGCAAAGCGTCTGACACAGTCTCCGACAGCATCCTCGCAGCTAAATTGAGGAAGTGTGGTCTGGATGATCGGGTAGTGAGGTGGACTGTGAACTGGCTGAAGGAGAGAAGCCAGGGAGTTGTAGTCTATGGGGCGGAGTCTAATTGGAGGCCTGTATCTAGTGGAGTGCCTCGAGGGTCGGTACTGGGACCAGTATTATTTAATATATTCATCAATGATTTAGATGAGGGAATTGAGTGCACTATCAGCAGGTTTGCTGATGACACTAAGCTGGGAGGGGTGGCCGACACGCCAGAAGGCTGTGCTGCCATCCAGCCAGACCTGGACAGGCTGGAGAGTTGGGCAGGGAGTAACTTGATGAAATATAACAAGGGAAAGTGTAGAGTCCTGCATCTGGGCAGGAACAACCCCAGGTTCCAGTATAGGTTGGGGAACGACCTGTTAGAGAGCAGTGTAGGGGAGAGGGACCTGGGGGTCCTAGTGGACGACAGGATGACCATGAGCAAACACTGTGCCCTTGTGGCCAAGAAGGCCAATGGCATCCTGGGTTGTATTAGAAGGGGGGTGGTTAGTAGGTCGAGAGAGGTCCTCCTTCCCCTCTACTCTGCCCTGGTGAGACCCCATCTGGAATATTGTGTCCAGTTCTGGGCCCCTCAGTTCAAGAAGGACAGGGACCTGCTGGAGAGAGTCCAGCGCAGGGCAACTAAGATGATTAAGGGAGTGGAGCATCTCCCTTATGAGGAAAGACTGAGGGAGCTGGGTCTCTATAGTTTGGAGGAGACTGATGGGTGACCTTATTAGTGTATATAAATATATAAAGGGGGAGTGTCACGAGGATGGAGCCAGGCTCTTCTCAGTGGCAAACAATGATAGGACAAGGGGCAATGGGTACAAACTGGAACACAAGAGGTTCCACTTAAACTTGAGAAGAAACTTCTTCTCAGTGAGGGTGACGGAACACTGGAACAGGCTGCCCAGGGAGGTTGTGGAGTCTCCTCCTCTGGAGACATTCAAAAACCCCCTGGACACGTTCCTGTGTAACCTTCTCTAGGTGTTCCTGCTCCGGCAGGGGGATTGGACTAGATGATCTTTTGAGGTCCCTTCCAATCTCTAACATACTGTGATACTGTGATACTGTGAAAACTCATACGAAGAACTATGTCAAAAGTCTCCCTACAGTGAGATAAATGTTATCATGTATCAATCAGCAAGATCATAATCTGATGCCTATCAATGGTCTTATGTTGAAGAACCATTGGCTTTTCTTTCTTTTCTTCCTGCCCACTAATGTGCTGAGCATTTGCTTTACAAAAGGTAGGTAAACTTCTACACCTGGAGATTAGCTTGTTTATGTTGTGGATTGACACTACACACTTAGCAGCCAGGTTACAGGCACAATACTCTGAGCTACTTAGAGGACACTAGCAACAGAGAGGGCCAGGCTTAGTGACAGTTAAGAACAAGCAAATATTCGCCCTTAGTTACCTTTTTGTGATGTTGCAATCTGCAGCACAAACATGCATTGAGAGAAAGGGCAGAAAAAGCTGTGCCTGTGATCCTGTGGTGATCATCTGTACTTAGTTTTACCTGGGAGGGAAACCTAAGTTTTCTTCCTTCATTTGCTCACAATCTGATTTTGTTTTTTTTATTTTTTTTCTAATTTAATTATTCTGTGAAGATCGTGAGGGGAAGAAATGAGGATTGAAAACCTCTCTGCCTTTGCTTAGCTTTTTAACCCATTCTTGCCTGCCTGCTCTTCCAGGAGACTACTGCAATGGCAGATCATTCAGTGGTGGACCACTTGACACGACTGAGACTCAAACTCCTAGAAAAGGTAAGGGAAAATCTCTGCAGTGGTCACTTTTGCTCTTTATTTTATTCTTGCATGTTTAAGCATTAACATTGTATGTTAAATAATTGTATTTCTGCTGAGATACAAAGAGGATCTGCAGCCAACAGATAGCCCCTTTCTTCATGCAAGCAGAGGCAGACCAATGTGCAGTGGTGCTACAGCCACTGTCACTTAAATAACATGGTACAAGTTTGCAATTTCTTCATATGATCCAGCTCTCTGCCCTATAGAAGAAGTGATGTGTAAGTCTCCTGATTCACCATGCTACCTATTTCCAGTTCTGGGATAGTTTGGCCAGTTGCAAGCATGACCATTCTTTTACCATACTAGATTTGTAGTGAGAGATTTCATACTTCTATGAATGCTTCTTGTAGCTGTCACTAGCTGTGATTTAGCAGCTAAGAAGCACTGCTTGTCTCTATTTCTGCTTTATTTCCTCCATGCCAAACCTATCCCTGTAAGGTGGGGTTGGAAATTGTTGTGAGCTTTGCTGCCTGACTCTTAGCCAGGTCTTGTGGTTTTACCAACAGAGAATAGAAAATGAACGGGAGAACCTAGAGAAGATGGAGTCGCCTCTTCCAGCTGCAAGTAAGAGACTCATTTGTTCTCATTTATGAACGTAATATGGGAAGGGCTTAGTGATGTTCTCAGACCACACCAGATTATCGAATCTCCTCCCTAAAAGCTGCCTACATTTATCTTTTGAATTTCTTCATCTGTTTATTTCTGACAAAGGCAAGTGATCAACCAGATGAACACTGACATAAGAATGACATCCTGCCTAGGTGTGCTCTGCAGGAGATCCTACTTATGTTAGCTCTTCTACCTAGGAGTGAGCCCCTGCTTCAGTCCAGCTGCATGTTTGGCTTTGGTGACCCTGAAAAGGAGTTGCTAGGCTGGCTGTGTGTCTTCAAGGGATCCAGGCAGGAGGAAGGGTCCACTGCTAATGCTGCTTTGCACCTTTGAATGTGACCAGTGCAGCCTTGTACAGACCAGAAGATGGTTGCCAGCATAAAAAAATGTGACTCAGCTTATGAAATAAGTTGTTATAGTGAAAGAGTTGGTCTTGAGGGCTGTGCTGATAAGAGCTGGGAACCATTTCATCAGAAAGCCATGCATGTATAGTGACATCCTGATTTTGGTTTGGACAGAGAGGTCAGGAATCCCAGCTTTCTTATAAAACTTGGAAAGATTAGAGAAATCACTACGTAAGATTGTGAATGGCTCAAAGGTGGTGGATAAGTGTCTTTATGAAACCCTTCCAAAGACTATTGTGATGTTTCATGTAGAAGTAATATGATCCCTACAACAATATTCCCTGGAAGCTACACATGCCATGTGCAGTACATTCATTTCTTTGCATGACATACGCACTATTGGTACTATCTATGGATTAAGGGCTACCAGTAGACAATCAGTAATATTTCTAGTTTGGCCTCCAGGCTCATATCCATTGAGCTGATACACAAATAGTTGGAAACTTGCAATGCTGTGGCCAGAAATTAACAATTCATTTATCAGCTTAGTTCCAAAACACAAAGTGATGCTTTTCAGAGCAGATGCTCCCATTGGATGTGAAAATATCCTCACTTATTTTCACATCAAGCAAGTTCCAGATCAGCTGTAGGTGGGAAGAATTGAACAGAAAGTTGGTTCAGACCAAAAAAGAAACAGCAAAGGTGACATTCAAAGCTGGGTTTGTTTGGATGTGTCACAACAAACTTTCTTTTACACTTTCCACAATCATCCTGTGTGAGTATTTGTAGAACATTTCCAGCTGAAATGAGTTTCTAAGCCAGGAGGTTAAAAAGGGGCTTTAGAGAGTTTATTTTATGTTCCCTGCTGGACAGCTGTGTCTGCATGTGGTATAAAGTCATTATCCCTTCATGGATTTGACAAGGAAAGTAGCCTAAAGCCTTTTGTGGAAGAAGTCAAGTTCTTTTATAACACCTTTGTCCAAAATCTCATAATGTAAGTGCTATAATAGCTCTGTATTTGTGATCCTTTGAGAAGATAATGGCCTTTTCATCCTCCAGGGAACAGATGTGAGGATGTGCTACAAAGTGCCTTAAGGCGAAGGAAAGATCTCTTGCAGGAGCTAAGGGTAAGAGCAGAAACAACAGAAAGGGCCAGGTTATCTGCACATCCACTGCTGAAGTGAATTCAGTTTTTTCCTGTCCTTTAGTTCGTGAGCTGGGGCTTGGAACAACCTTCTCTAGCAGAAGCTGTCCCTGCCCATGGCAGGGGGTTGGAACTCAATGAACTTTAATGTCCCTTCCAACACAAACTGCTCTATGATTCTATGATTTCTAGTTTTTGGAGGGTACTTACCATTAATGAAACACTTTTCCGGGCTTTTGTCAGATTGTTCCTCACTTTTTTACCCCACTGCTTTTTGCTTGTGCTGAAAACCGTATGGCTTCAAGACACATGGGGAGAAAACTCTATACCTGTGCAGGCACCGGTTGAGTGCTTCCCTTTGTGCAGTGATCACTTGTGGTCTGCCCGTCAGACACAGGATGTATCTGCAGCAGTGATTCAGTGAGCAAGGCTGTGCCCTGCTGCAGGCTCCAGGGGCTAATCCCATTTATTCGAGAGAGTGTAACAATCCTGCCTGCCTTTCTCTGACCAGGTTTTCTTTAGGAAGATACTTGATTTTTCAGGAGCAGCACCTTCTGGAAGAGCTTTCGCAGCCCCCTGCACCAGCTGGAGGACACTGTCACAACCACAGAGCTGCTGCCCCACACATCTACCAGATACCTTTTCCAGCTCCAGAGGAGCCACCAAGGATTATCCAGCAGATGGTAAGGATCCTCTCTCCTAGGAAACGCTCTATAGTGCTCTGCTAGTGTGAAACAACAGCTGCTTGGGAAATGTACAGAAATGTTAATTTCAAGGGAATGCTACACCTCTTGCTGTTGTATGGGACCCTTACTGCCCTAGGCAAAACCTACAAATAAAGCACAAAATTCACAGGGGGAATGATTTACCACAGGAAGGAGGTAGCAGGAGGAGTGGGAGAATTGCCTATGCTCTGCTGTGGTAGGCACAGCATGACCTAGACTGGATTTCCCAGCACCCTGTCTAGCCCAACCATAGCAGTGTCCAGTGCTGGGGAATCCACCACTTCCCTGGGGAGATTATTCCTTATGCTCCTTGTGAAAAATTTTCCTCTTGTGTCCAACCAGAATGAACCCAGTAGTAACCTGTACTCATCATCCCCTGGTTTTTCCACATGACTCCTAGTAAAAAGGAGTCTCCATCTTCTTTGTAGCCACCCTTTAAATACTGGAACATGGTGATAAGGTCTCCCCTGATCCTTCTTTTCTTGAGGCTCAACAGTCTCAGCTCTCTCAGACTTTCCTCATAGAGCTTCCCAGCCCTTGGATCATCTTTGTGACCCTTCTCTGGACCCTCTCTAGCCTGTCCATATCTTTCATGTAGAGCAGGGGCCTAAACTGAACACAGTATTCCAGGTGTGGCCTTACAAGCACTGAGTGGAGTGGGATAAAGACATCTTTATCTCTGCTGGTGATGCCCTTGTTGATGTTTTCCAGCACCCTGTGGCTTGCTTTTCTGCAGCAGAACACTGTTAACTCATGTTGAGTTTGTGTTCACCAGGACCACCAGGTCCCTTTCCATAGAGCTGCTTCCCAGCCAAGTAGATGCCAGCTTGTGCTAGGATTTCACAGGAGACAATGTCCAAAGCTGCACTGAAGTCCAGGCAGATGATACCCACTGCTCTTCCTTCCCAGAGATGAGGAAGTCAGACAAATCCAGTAGCAACTTCTTCCTTTTCCTTTCTTTTCCAGATGCCACCTCAGCCTGCCACCATCATCCAGCAGCTACCTCAGCAGCAGTCTCCTCTGATCACACAGATCCCCCCTGCCCAACCTTTTGCAGCCCTCCGCTCTGGAAGCATTAAAGAAGGTGAAGTATCCACCTGGCTCCCACTGTCCAGGCTGGAGAGGACAGGGAGGTGCCACAGCAAGTGGGAAGGGGCACAGAACAGCATCCAAGCTAGTCAGTGACATGCTGTTTCATGACCAGTCTGCTGCTGAAGCTGTGGGAATTGCACCAGGATGTATGTATTAGATATCATTTCTGAGAAGCTTTCAGATAAACTCTTATCACTAAAACTAAAGGAACAGGGACTACAAACTCGGCAAAGCCAGATGAAGCTGCCAGGGAAGCTTGGGAAAGCAAACCAGCTCAAGACATGGCACTGAGTAATACGAACAAAGTCAAACTCATGTGTATGGATGATTCCAAAACTACCAGTCAGGTTTCTAAAACCTGGGGTTTTTTTATTTTCTTTTCTTCCTCCCTTAACCCGCAGCTCAATCTCCTCAAACAACACAGCTCCATATCTGTATTCCAAACACCAAAGCTCCGTGTTTAGAAACAAGACAGAACAGCTAAAAGCACTGTTCTAAATACAGTGCAATGCCAATAAAAAGTTTGTTTCTAAACATAGCTGGATGCTACTGGGAAATAAGACATGAGCAAAACCCTGGGATGATTTCCCTGGCTCAACCTTCAGCCAAAGGTTTCTTCATCCCACACAGAAACCCTCATTGATGAAACTGCAATTTTTCTCGCCTCTTTCTGCCTGGAGTTTTAAATCAGAGTTTATTTTCATAAAGAAAACAGTCCCAATTCATGCGTGACTCTGCTGAAGCTGATAGATGTGAACTACTTCTGGTATGACCACAAAAAAGGACAGTTGCCTTGATTTTGTTTTCCCTCTTTCTTAATCCCCCCTCCCTTCTTCCTCCACTGCACAGGTCATAGAATAGTAGAAGGGTTTGGATTGGAAAAGACCTTAAGATCATCCAGTTCTAACCCTCTGCCATTGGCAGGGACCCAGAGACCATAGTTAATATATTTGACATGCATGCAGTGGACTCTCAAGGTGGCACTGCAATATCATGTAAGTTTGAGGAAACCTCTCAGTGACTGTGGGCTGAAGCAATGGGTAGCACTGCAAGGAGCTGGTCCATGCTGGAGGAACCAAGAGGGCTCTGGTGCTCAGCCCATCTCCAGCATAGCCAGTGGGGTGGGCTTGCAGGGAAACTAACAAACAGAAGAGGCTCAACAGCAGCTTTCTTGTAGAAGGGAGGAGAAACAAGGAAGCTAGTATGAACAGTCTTATTCATAGACATGAATTTTGCACTGCTTGGGTAAAGAATGATAATATTCATGTTCATCTTAAAGGTCTTTTCCAATCTAGTTGATTCTGTGTGTCCCTTTCAGCTGATATGTCTTGGTCGCATTGACTGGGCTATATACCAGAAGGCACTTCTTATCGAGGTGCCTCTGCTGCTTGTCAGCTGATGCTAAAGTTCTTATTTTCTTCCTTGGGGTGACCTCTTCCCAGATATGGTAGAGATGATGCTCATGCAGAACGCTCAGATGCACCAGATCATCATGCAGAACATGATGCTGAAGGCTCTGCCACCAATGGCATTCACACAGCCTGCTGGAGCCAGCCCTCCCCTGCTTCATTGTGCACAGCAGGTAACAACACTGGGGTCTGAAGGGCATCCTTGCTCCCACAAAGCAGTGGCTGATCTCCTTGAGATGCTTAACAGGTGTGCTACAGATCTCTGAAAGGACAGATATTTTGGGGTGTAGATCCCTATAAGCTTATTTCCAAAACACGTCCAGTGCCTGATAAGAGGTAGACGACTTTGAACACATTCTTTGGTGCCCAGTTCCTAAGCTGTTTGTGACAAGGTGATTTAGCTCCTTTGCACCCTTAAATGCTTTGGAAAAATGTAGTTCTAGGCTCATCTCTGTGGCATTTAATACCAGAGAAACAAGGACAGATGATTGCTGGGGAGGAGGGCATGTCCCAGTGTCGCAGAAAGTTAGGTATATTCCCTACCTTTCTTTTTCCAGGCTAACTATGTATTTCACTGTGCTGTAAGTCCCATTTGTTTTCTTTTTCTCAGATATTAAGGTTGTTGGGTTCTGAGAAATAACTCCAAAAGTCCTACAGCCTTTGCCCAGCTCATTTGCATCTTTGCCACATGGTATTTGTAAACGCCCCTGAGCCCTGGGTTTAACAGAGGGGTAGGAAACACAATCCTCCTTCATAACCCATCAAATGGCCTGGAGGGAGCTGATGAGTTTGTGCATCTGCTGGGACAAAAAGCCTCTGACAGCAGCTGCCAGCTCTCACATTTCAGGGCACTGATGTCCCAGGAGGCCACCTGAGGAGCAAAGCTGGCTTCATCAGCCGTGGTGCAGGGTGGACTTGCTGTGGGAATGGCAGAGCTGCCATTCCCAAGCATCGCCTCGCATGGAAGTCCTTTTCTATTTCCCTTACATTGTGCAGTTTCTGGGTTTGAATAGCCTGTCCCCCCATGCTACTTGGGAGATGTCTGGCCAGATGGTGGTGGTGAGAGAGACAGTGGACACATCTGCAGCTTTCTGTGTCTAAAGGGAGGTGACAGGGGAAAAGCATGCATCCCCCTGGTTCCCACCTTCTTCCACAGCCCATCCCGTCACTGTGTGTTTCCCTGATGTAGACCAGTGAGCTAAACGTGAATGACTCTGAAGAACAGGTGGGATCTGAAATCACCAAGTGTTTTGCTGGACCTTCTATGTTTTGAGCCTGCAAAACTCATCTCCAGACACATGCTTTACCAAGGGCTGGCTGAATGGGAACCCAGCCCAGCAGCCAGGGACCCTTCCCATAGTGGCACAGCTTTCACGTATCACCTTTTGTCTCTCTACTAAGGACCTGCAGGTTCCTGCTCCCCTGGCTGTGAAAGCAGACAGGCCCAGGCCATCCGTGGTGCACCACCACCACTACCCTGCTGCAGGGATTCTCCCAGTGCCCCATGAGCAATTCCCATCCACATCCATGGCACATCACTGGACGAGCGGCACAATCCCTGCCCTTCCCACGTAAGTAAACAGGAAACCATGATGTAAACTTTTAGCCCTTCTGTCCTGGTTTTGGCTGGGATAGAGTTAATTCTCTCCCTAGTAGCTGGTGCTGTGCTGTGGTTTGGCTTTAGTCTGAGAACAATGCTGATAACACACTGATGTTCTAGTTGTTGCTGAGTAGTGCTTACTCTGTCCAAGGACTTTTCAGTTCAAACCACACCACCTTCCTTCCTGCACAGATAGGGGTAGCAAGGTAGACCATGTAGTCCTTTCTGGTTCTTCACTAAATCCAGGCCTGAATATTGTCTTTAATGCAACAGTGGCATTGATGCAGATTAAATAATGATTTGATGTGATTAATATTACAGCTTGAGTAATTAACGCTTGTTTACCACCGAATAAATATGAGGATCAGAAAGGTCTACAGATGATACTAATCTCTGTCCCTGCCACAGAGCCACAACCCACCCAGCAATTACCATGGCTGTTTGGGGTTTGGGTCTCCTTGCAAAGCCAGCAGGGACCTGCTAAATAAGTCCTGCATGTATTTTCTATTCAGGCTAATGTAAATCCAGTAGGATTTATGTTCTTACAACACTGCTGAGGCTTTTGCTAATCAGAAATTCCTGGGGGAAAACCCTACCACCTCTCACCAAGAAAAATGGTACAAAATGAGGAAAATACTTGGAAATAAGGCTGAGCCTTTGGGGTAAGCATGGGGACTCACTGTTACATGAGTGAGAACAAAGCTTCTAGTTCAGTGCTACAGCTCTTTGTGAACAGAAGGACAGGATGGAGCAGCTGCATCCTCAGGCATGAGTGTCCTGCTTACAGGGGTATCTGTATAACCCCCTTAGGATGGGATTTGAATTCCTGAACAGATTATTTACCCAATGGGATTATAAGGGATAAACATTCAACCCATTTCACTTTTGCATGGGTTTGTAATCTGTACCAATAAAGATCTCTGGGTTCCTTCAACAATAGTACCATTAGCTGTTAGCAGAAATCAGCAAAGGAAGATGCTGTTGAGCAGCTCTGCACTGAAGCTGGGCTGGTTCAGCCTGGACAAGAGAAGGCTCCTTAAGGGGAGACCTTAGAGCAGCTCCAGTGCCTAAAGGGGCTACAGGAAACCTGGACAAGGGCCTGTAGGGACAGGACAAAGGAAATGGCTTTAACCTGCCAGAACAGGGGAGACTGAGATGAGCTCTTAGGCAGAAGCTCTTCCCTGTGAGGGTGCTGAGGCGCTGGCACAGGGTGCCCAGAGAAGCTGTGGCTGCCCCGTCCCTGGCAGTGTTCAAGGCCAGGTTGGACACAGGGGCTTGGAGCACCCTGCTCTAGTGGAAGGTGTCCCTGCCTGTGGCAGGGGTTGGAGCAGGATGAGCTTTAAGGTCCCTTCCAACCCAAGCAAGTCTGGGATTCCGTGATTCTTCCTGTTCTTCAGCTACCTTACACCATGAGTTATAAGATCTGACACATCTACACTGTGCTTTTGCAGCTGCAGGAAGCATGCACTGATGCACTGTTGGCTATTACCAAACACAGTAAAGCCATTTTTCTTGTTGCAGGTGGCCCACATACTGACAGGACATGTTCCTCTCAACTGGACCATAGCACTGCTGAAGTCAACCTGTATTTGAACAGTTCCATCTGATTGACAGCCTAATATCAATAAAACTGCACATTGTTGGTATAGGAAGTAGCAGAACTCTGCCCTACCTGTGTGAACTGGCTTCACACACTGTTCGGATAAATAATTCTCAGTGATGAAGAATAGAAGGAAATCTGCTCCTGCAGGGTTTGAACACTGAGGTGCAATAAGTGCAATCCACATTTTCAGCCCCAGGAGGGCTCTGATTCCCCATCTTTCCCAAATATCGTAGTTACAAAGCTGGTCAAGGCTTTCTTCCCAAAGAGCTATTGGAAGCTAACTTAAGCAGCTTGGAATTGCATATATTTGTTTCATTATTTCTCAATCCTTCCCTTATATAATCAAGGTTTAGACTTGATTTAAGCACACAAAATAAAATCTTGTGGTTCTTCCTGGAATGTTGGCATGTCTTTTGCTTCAGCAACATAAATCAACTTCTCCCTTCTTTACTTTTCTCATTGATTTTTCATAGGACAGCCTTTAAGCTGAGATCATGCTCTCCTGTTATTTTTGTTTTCACCTAGGACTCCTTGGAAGGCTCACTGAGAGTCTGAATCAAGCAATGCTTTTTCATGCTCTCAGCAGTCTGGTGGTGTTTAACACAGAAAGATAACTCATGCATTAATAGCACTTTCTCCATGTCTTCCCACCTTCTCCTGTGTGTAAAGTGCAGAACATCTTTACGTTGGTTTTGCCTGGTGCAGTTTGTGAGTGACTCTAATGTGAAGATCACCCCAAAGGAATAATCTGTTTACTATGTCAAACCTACCTTGCCCTTTGCCCTCTCTGCTCTGTTTTCTTTGCTGAGGGGTGTGTGAGTCAAACAGATAATGTGGATCACTTCACTGCTGTGTAGATCAGAGAAACCCAACGGAGGGTCTTCAGTGGAGACTCATCTGGATGCAGTGCCAGGGCCCATGGGCACTAGCAGCCTCTAACAACCCCAGACAGCCCCATGGGGGACTCCTGCCCCCTCAAAGGCCAGAAGTCCCTCTTAAGCTTGGGCCTGGGGCTGCTGTTGACACTGTTCTTTCCATGCATGGTACCACAGGTTAGCACTATGGTGTGGTACTGGTGTGCTTCAGGAGCAGCCATCCCTTGCTGCACTGGGAACCAGGATGTGCAGCGGAGAGTGATTTTGTGCTTGTGCATGGATTTGGCCTTGCTCCTTTGAGACAAACTTGGTGTTTCAGGCTGTGCATTGCAGGGTTAGCAGGAAATAGTGTATTTAATGTGTGTGTTCTCACTGCTGTAGTTTTAACCAGTGTGTGTAGGCTGTAATTGGCTCCTCCCTTTTAAAAGCTTACTGCGTGCAGTGTTGGTTCTGCAGAGCAGCCCCTCCCAAGGACTGGCATGTGGAATAGTGCACAGAGAGGTGTCTCCTCATAGCCTCATCCAAGTACTTCTGCAGGTTAGGCCTGGACCCTCTGCTCACCATCACACCCCAACGTGCTCAAGCCACACACAGCTTCTTTGTGTGACATCCTGGCAGATGGTATCAGCCCCTGGCAAGCAGCGTGTTCCATACCCCACCCTCAGGCAGTGCCCTGGGGATCCAGGAGTTATTCCACATCATCCTCTGCACTTGCAGCCCAGCAAAGCACCAGCAGAAGCCCGGCAGATGTGGGCTCTCCTTATGCTCTGTGTGTGTTTCAGTAGGAAACCCTTGAAGACTGCAGAATTGCTTCACTTTTCAAGAGAAAACTGCTTTAGAGCTTTCACAACGTGGCTGAATAACTCCACATTCACATCTCTCCACCTGAGCAACCATGCGCCTGTCCCCATGGCCAGGCTGACCCACCGACAGCCTCTGTGCTGTGAGTTAAACTTTAATAGGAGCCAAGGGAGAAGAGCTCAGATGTGACTCTGCTGCCCATATCCTTCCCCTTCTCCTCCCTGCTGGTGAGGGCAGTGCAGCAGGACAGGGAGCAGGGACACAGCACTAAGAACCTGCAACTGAGAGTGCCTCAGAGATGGAGAGCAGTGACCCACGGGGGAAAAGAGTCGCTGTTGTTGGCGGTGGTCTGGTAGGAAACTCGATTTAGCTGCTGTGTGATTGCACAAAAGCCAGAGCTGTGGAAGCATTGCGTGGATGGGGGGTGAATGTCTGATAATGGGGTGTTATGGAGGGGTTGGCTTGAGTTCTGGCTGTAGAAGGCAGTGAGGCTCATTTGAGCAGGGTTGTGGGACTTTGTAGGAGGAGAACATCTCCTCCCCTCAAGGGAAAGGTTTCCTGCTGAGATATCCCAGGGATGCAATGCACGGCTGTAGTTGGCATTTAGCTTGAATGGTGTGTGCAAATGCATCACAGAATTGCTGGGGGAAATGCTGCCATCAAGAGTCCTTCTCTCAGAGGATGGTAATGCCCAGGTAGATTAAATCACAGTCCTCTCTTGACCCTCATTTGCTTCTGGCTTTAACTAAGTCCCTAAGGTGAAATGGTTTGTGAGGACCACTGATAAACACAAGGCTAAGAGGAAATGGCTCCCTCTGCCCACTTTTGCTTGGGAATGTTTTGCCTACTTTGCTATTTGCAGAGTGGTCTTACTTTAGAGGACAGCATAGCAGCACTTAACTCTGTCTTTTGACCTTTTGGCTGTTAGCTTCTTGGTCCCCATGCTGTTGGGAAGGAGTGACGACACAAGAATCTGTAGGTCTGCCAGTGATTAATGATGGAAGCTAAACCCCCAAAAGACAACCATCCATTTAGATAACAAACAGGACACGAGTGTGAGGACCTTTTAAAGGTGACATCTTGCTTTTGCTCAGGCCTAGCTTCCCCTGCTGTGTTCCCAAGGGAATGCTGCAGAACCCTGAATTCCATCCAGGAAGATAAATCTAGTCCAGAGAGAAGCAGGGAGTTTGCCTGTCCAGTCTTCTTGTGACTGGTTGAAGGGCTTAGCTCTGCTGCAATTAATCACTGTATATGAGCAAGCTCTGAACTTGGTGTGACTTCGTGTGATGAATTTTGATGAATGACTCTTGTCTTGGAGGCTCTGTGGGTACAGCAGGGGTGCCAGAGCACTTCTCTCCAGGAAGAAGTCCTCTAAGGCTCTTGATCAAAGGGGTTTTTTGTATATACTGAGCTGTGTCCCCTACCTGCTGCTTTTCCTTTATGATCCAGTAGTGATCTGTGATGTATCTAATAGTGAAACACATCATCTGCTATTCCTGATCCTTCTCTTGTAGGTGGGTGCATTAAATGCCTGTTTCTTTGCGAGACGAGGTTTCCACGTTGATGTTTATGAAGCCAGAGAAGGTAAGTTCAGCCTGACCACTACTGCTTTATTAATGTGTTCCTTGTTCCTTTGCTGATAACAGCTTTGGGGGAAGCAAAAGAGGAACTGTGTGAGCTCACTGAAACTGCAGGAAGAAAATGAAACCCAAAAGTGTGGCACCTGAAGGATATTTTTTTACTCTTTAGTTTCTGTGGTGGGGAGGAGCATTTGTTTGAAATATGTTGGTTTGTGTGGAGGAAACCCACCCTTAAGCTACTCAAATGATGCCTTTTCATGTTCTTGGCTTAAATATTGATTCAAATCCTCATCTTTGGAAGTTGTTCTCTGCATGCAGAATGCTGTTGAGCCTGGGCAGAGGTGGCAATGCCAAGAGGCAGGTCAGAATGACACTGGAAGGTGACACTCACCATGGTTTACCTGTTAAACCCTTTGCTGGATGTTGTGCATGCCACCAGTGTCACACGTTGAAAAAGCTTCTGGTAGCTCTTAGCTGCCTCCTGGATTGGACGGATTTTACCACCCTTGTCCAGTGTTTGGCCCATGGCTTTGCTGAGATGCAGCCCTGAAAGCTCTTGGGGTATCCAGTGCATGCTCTGCTGCATGCACTGGATAGACAACACTGAAGTGAGGCCATTCAGAGGAGGAACAGGCCAATGTTGAGACATCTCCATCCGACTAGAGATGGGTCTTGGCACAAGCTGCCAGGCGTTCACTGTTTGTCTCCCTTCACTGAGAGGGGAAGCAGCTCTTAGTGATGATGTCCTCCATCACTATAGGGAGCTGTTGGGATGCAATGTTCCCTTTGCAGCACTTGGTTGCAGCTGCTTCTTACAGGCTGGAGGTGGCATGGAAGAATCAGCCCTTGAAGCTGCTCAGTTGCCTTCCCAACAGCTGAATGTGCTCCCTGTGCACACAGCGTGGGGGCACAGGGACTCCTCCTGACCTGCTGCTGTTGCCATATGGATTCTGGGAGATGCTGTAGTATCAGTGTCTCCATAACCAGCTGCTTTTCCCATGCAGATATCCGGGTGGCCAGCTGTAGCCGTGGCAGAAGCATTAACTTGGCTCTGTCCCATCGAGGACGCCAAGCCCTGCGAGCTGTGGGCATGGAGGAGCAGGTACCTGGGCAGCCCAGCCTGGGGCAGCACCCAGCCCCGGGCTCTACTTCAGGCAGAGGGCTGATGAGAAACCTGGAGAGGGGCTTTGGACAAGGGCCTGTAGGGACAGGACAAGGGGAATGGCTTTAACCTGCCAGAACAGGGGAGACTGAGATGAGCTCTTAGGCAGAAGCTCTTCCCTGTGAGGGTGCTGAGGCGCTGGCACAGGGTGCCCAGAGAAGCTGTGGCTGCCCCATCCCTGGCAGTGTTCAAGGCCAGGTTGAAGTGTGGTGTGAGGAGGGGGAATGGCCCTTGGTGACTTGCGCCCTCCCCTTGGCAGCTCCAGTTTGGCCAGAGGGCTGGGTTGTGTTTCCTTCCATTTCAGATTGTGTCCAAAGGCATTCCCATGCGGGCAAGAAGGATACACACACCTTCAGGGAAGAAGTATTCTATTCCCTATGGGAAGAAGAACCAGGTACTGGTCTCACACTGTCACTCTGGAGATGTCTTTGGTGGTGTTTGTACCTCTGTGCGAGGGACAGCAGGGCTCAGACTCCTTGGAAGGATGCTGTGGCAGGAAAAGGGTTTCATGACCCCCTGGTTTTGGTGCAACTGTTTAGAATGGGTGGCATTCCTCATCTGGCCATGCAGAGCAGCCTTCAGCAATACCTCCTGAACATGGTGTTTGCTTGCCTTGCAGTACATCCTGTCCGTGGACAGAGCAAACCTGAACAGAGAGCTGCTGACAGGTAGGCTGCCAGCTCTGTTTGCAGATACTTTTCTGCCCTGTTCACCCAGGATTTAGGCTTTGCCCCATGAACAGGAGGCTTTGGGCCTCAGGCTCTCTGTGAGTTCTGCGTAACCTGGTTCTCAGAAAGCACAATTGGGATGTAGCTGTGCTTGTGAGGAGAAAATCTCTTCTTGTCTGATACAAAAGGATATTCAAGCAGGTCCCCAAGGCCTTTCTGCACATGCACCTCTCCTGCATTCACCCTTGAGCAGGAGCTGTCTCCACTTCATGGCTCCTGGCATGGGATTCTGCCCCAGAGCTTTGCCAGCCAA